ATTTATATTGAACTATTTTTGAATATTACTAAGAATCTACAAGACTACCAAAGAGATAAACACAGACATACACTTTTTTTAAAAAAAGCAGTCTTGGGATGGGGGCTTAGCGCACGTAGTACCTCGCCCTTGCAAGTGCAAGGTCCTGAGTTTGATCCCTGGTACCAGAAAAGAAAAAAAAAAAAGAGTCTTTTTTTATTTTTTTTGGCGGGGAGGACAAACCAATGCTAAAGGAACCATTCAGGTTCAAGCCACAATACTGTAAACACCATCACTACTCTAAAATAATCAATTCTAATCACCCAGCTCATAACCTACACCAGAGTCCACTGTGCTCCCTACCTTTGTGAGGACTGCTGTGTGCTCATCTCCACAACTAATGTAGACAACCTTCTGTGTTCGTAAGAGTTTCACATGGCATGGAGACTCTCGATCTGGAAGAAGAATTAAGCATCAGAATGGCACAGTAACTGGTCTTGGAGATAAAATACACACAACTAGCTTAGCCTGAATCTGGGCCCCTCTGGCTTCCTTACACATAGCTTCCTGCCTGCATCTCTACTTGGATGTCCAACAGACCATCTGAAACCTAACTCGTGGTTCCCTCACTCTAACTCTGCACTCTTCCCAAATCACTCCATTTCTACCACAACCCCCACACAGTAACTTTATCCTTCTAGATTTTCCTTGTTTCAAACCACACATCCAACAAGGATCAAACCAACTAGCCTCACCTTCGAACAGTAGAAAACTCTGACCTTACTCCCACTACCTCCAAAATGGCCTTTCCCTTGACCCACCACAGCTGTAGTCAAACTGGATCACTCTTCTCAGAACCCTTAGTGTCAGGCTGAGGGTCTAGCTCAGTGGAAGATCACTTGTTTGGCAAGCATAAGGCCCTAGGTTCGATCCTCAACACCAGAAAAAGAGAACAAAACCCCCAGTGTCTTCCCCTCTCAAAAAGATAAGAAGCGGAGCCTGGGATTTAGCTCAGAGGTGCCACCACCTGCCTTGCAAGTGCAAAGCCCTGAGTTTGATCCCCAGTACCAAAAAAAAAAGAATCAAAAAAGATAAGAAGCCAAAATCCTCACCCTGCCATTGGGGCCTTCAAGTAACAGGTTGTACACTACCTCTGACCTTCAGCTCTACCCCTCCTCCTTCTCTTGGTCCACTCCAGCATACATCACATCAGAGCTTTTGTAAGTCCTGTTCTCTCTGGATGGAGCATTTTTTACCCCGACACCTACAAATTCTATTTCCTACAAGACTCTGTTCAAACATGTTCTTGTCGGGCCAGGGATTTAGCTCAGTGGTTCTACCGCCTGCCTCGAAATCTCAAGGTCCTGAGTTTGATCCCAGGTACCAAAAAAAAAGAAAGAAGTTCTTGTCAGAGGCCTTCCTGAACACCTCATATAAAACAGGAAGCTTGGTCTCAAACCCTCTGACATAGACATTTACTGGTTTGTATCTACTCACTAGAATACAAGCCACGGATGTTCTCTGTTTTGTCCAGTGCTCCTTGCTTAATACCTAACGTAGAGCCACGACATAGCAGATCATCATGAAGCATGTATTAAACAAATGAATGTGCTTTTGTACTGAAGAGGTACAATAAATTTAGAGTTTAACCTACCTTTTTCATCACTGAGCCCTAGCTGCCCTGCATTATTCATCCCCCAGCCAAAAACAGCTCCTGAGAGAGACAGGGCAAAGCTGTGAGCCCCTCCTGCAGCCACCTGAGCCAGCGGGATCCCCTCCAGGGACCTCACCCTCTGAGGGCTGGCTTGAGAGGAGAACTCCTTCCCTAGGCCCAGCTGCCCATGGCTGTTCTTTCCCCAAGTGAAGAACTGGCCATCTGAAATAAGAACAAGAAAATTGATATTAAAAAAAACAAAAGCAAGCTCCATACACAAAAATAATCTCGTTGTTAAGATCATTTGGTAGAGGTCCCTACATACAAGAGCAAGGGAGCAGAGACACTGCATGCTATAAGATGTCAAAACCAAAACTCTCACTTAACATAACAAGTTAAATAAACTGAATTGTACTGCCTATCCAACACTATTAACACTTCTGCAAAGAAAATATTAAAGATTTAAGTAAATTCAATTTTGAACAGGACAATTACCAGCCTTAGGTCTACTAAGCAAGCTGAACTTAGTTCTGGCCACCTGAGACCATGAGGCCCAGGACTTCAGAAGTCCAGCTATGACCACCCAGACTATTCTGCAGATGACTGAGCAGGGTGTGTATATACAAATATACTGCAACAGAGTATGATATTATTTGATAGCTTCAATTTCTCTAACTTCTAGTGGAGTGGAGCTTGAGAATAGGCTGCAAATTAAAAAAAAACAAAAAACAACTATATGCTCAAGAGCACCTAGATAAGGTCCTGCCTTCTATTTATCTTCCCCTGTGAGAGCTGGAGCAGCAAAGGTGGCCACTACTTCATCATCCACACCCTGAAGAAAGAATGCACTAAGAAAAAGGCTGTCTGAGAACTATCACTGCCCAACAATAATGTACACAGCCTTACTACTTAAAGGTTTCAAATTAGATAAGACAAAACTTCAAGAGAAAAACATTATATGTTAAAATTAACATAATATTAACATATAATTAATGTATTACCAGCTGCAAGAGCCAAGCAATGCCAGTTGCCACAGGAAACCTGTAATATAGTCTGCTGGTTCAGCTTTTGTATCAACCTAAAATAGAAAAGGCTTTTTAAAGATAGGCTTCCACATGCAAATATAATCATCAGAAATGTTCCAAATTAAGTAAATACTTGTACTAAATATCATCATTTTGCCTAAGAGACTTTAAAAGGCCAAATGTATAGTCTTAAGGAGCTCTATTAAGTCTTTTACTAGCCTCCTGCCTGTTATTAAGTACTGTTTAAAGCAAACAGCAAGGCTGGAGATATAGCTCAGTGGTAGAGGGTTTGCTTATCCCTGGGTCTAAGCCCTAGCACAAATAAATAAACTGAAACACTCAGACACTTAGATCCACTGCTACCATTCTATTACTTCCCACTCTGTCACCTCCAAATCAAGGTGTGATATTGGGGCAGGCAACTCCTAAAATGCCTGAAATCTGAGTAATTAAGGGTATTTTCGATGCTAATGAGGTGATAAATGGGTCCCTAGCTAGCTTCTAGGTCAGAGCTAGTCACTAAAAAAACCAAGGTAGGATTAAAGGATTGGGACTTTCAGTCCCATCACCCCAACCTCTGGGGAGCTGAGGAACGAGCAAAGGTTAAACTGATTACTGATGGTGAAGAATGTCATCAGTCATGTACATGCAACAAGTATCCGTAAAAACCTAAAAAGGCAGGTTTGGAGAGCTTCTGGATAGCTGAACCCCTCAAGGGTCCAGAAGGGTGATGCTCCAGAGAGGACATTGAAGTTCCTTACCTTGAGCAACTCTCATCTGTATTCTAACAGCCTTCATAACAAAATGGTAAAGGTGTCTCTGTGACTTCGATGGGCCCCTCAAGCAAATTGATCAGACCCAGTGAAGAGGGAGTTAGGGGAACTCTAACTTATAGCTGGTCATTTAGAAGCACGGGTAAAACAACCTGGGGCTGCGACTGACATCAAAGTTGGAGAAGGGACAGTTGTGGGGACTGCGCTCTCAACTGTGGGATTCAACTAGAAGATACATGGCTGATGTCAAACGCTACAGAATGGCTTGCTTACTGATGGTGAAAATTCCTCACACATTTTAGGGCCACAGAAGTTTTCTGTGTTGATGGTGGTGTGAGAGTAGAGAAAGAATATGTTTTTCCTAGGTACACACAGATAAACTGAATAAGCTACAGAAGAGATTCCTAAGAATATGGTGAGTGTACACAGCTTTCATGAACCAGCTATTTTTCTCCTGGGTATATATCCAAGAGGTAAAAAGCAGAGTCCCAGGAGCTATTTGTACAACCATGTTCAGAGCAGCATTATTTACAAGAGCCAAAAGGCAGAAGCAACCCCAATGACTGTGAGGGATGAATAGCTAAATAAGATGGGGTACAGGTATAGCCCACCTTATTGTACTTCACTCTCCTGGCCTTATGCTGTGGTGTTATTTACAAACTGAAGGTCTGTCACAATCCTGTATCTAGCAAGTCTATTAATGCTATTTTTCCAATGGCTCAATGGTCATTAGCATTTTTAGCAATAAGTATTTTTAAATTAAGTTATATAAACTATTTTTTAGACATAATGTATTATAGTGTAGTGTAAACATAACTTCTATAAGTACTGGAAAGTTTTAAAAAGTTCGTGTGACTCACTTTATTGTGATCTCTGTTTTTATTGCAGTGCTCTGGAGCCAATCTGCACTATCTCCAAGGTGTGCCATAAAATACAATATAATTCACCTCAAAAAAGAAGAAAATAGGCACGGTGGCACATGCCTGTAATCCCAACAATCTGGGAGGCTGAGGCAGGAGGATCTGAAGTTTGAGCTCAGCCCATCCAACTCAGCAAGATCCTGTTTCAAAAATAAATAAAAACAGGCTTGGGGTTGTAGCTCAGTGCCAAGGCCCTGGGTTCATTCCTCAGTTGGGGGGGGGGGCAGATTCTGACACAAGTTTTAAGGATAAACCTAGAGGACATTATTCAAAGTGAAATATGTACAAAGACAATACTGTATGATTCTGTCAGCAGGCTGGACATGAGGGTCCCTGAGGCTGAAAATAAACCTATTGCACCCTACCAGAATAAGTTTGTAGGTTTGCTGACTTTCCTCCTGGAAAAAGAATTTTTAGGGCACGTCAATTACAGAAATGAGAAGGGTTTATTAAAGAGAGATATAGGACACACTCAAGAGTGGAATGTGGACATGGGCACTCAGAGCAATGAGATACAATATGAATCAGAGCTGGGTATACATAAGAGGCTGTTTTCAAGGTGGGTGACCTAGGATGTATATTTTTATAGTCTTGTTAGGTCACAATGCAAGCCATCTATACGTGCTTGAAGTTGAGATCTGCTGTCCACCAGTATTGCTGCTTCCTTGGAGGTGGAGGGGGCACAATTTATAGGTGGAAAGACAAGTCCAGAGCACAAATTTACAGATTATCTTTTATGACCATTAGAATTTTTTTTTTGACTGAATGAGTTTCCTAGAAAGGAAAAAGGCTTAAATAACTTTTGTTTCTTGAAGGTACAGTTAAGTACAATTTTTAAATCTCAATTTCCTTCTCTCCTTTTTACCTAGTTTTTATTTTGTCTATCCTACCTCAATTCCACTTATACAATGTACCTAGTCAAGTTCACAAAATAGATTTTAGAGGATAAAAAAGACTGGCAAGCACCTACTCAACAACAATGTGAACATACTTAATACTACTGAACCTATACTGGTAACTTTTGTGTTATGTACAGTCACGGTTTAAAACAGCATATTAGCAATGGCTCCATAATTTCTCTTCTAATCATATTCCTCTCTTTTGAAAGATATAAGAACAGCAGTTACTTCACAAGTTTATGGAGAGAATTAAATGAAGAATTCCATGTAGAAGTGTTAACCACTACGCAGCACAGTCGCACAGCCTGGGCATATCTCCTACTCTTAATTTTAACAGCTGACAGGTTTACATGTTTATCTATAGTAAGTGTATTCTGCCACCAGAACAAAAAATAAGGACACCCACTCAGGAGAGGGGTATCTTAGAAGGTAGATGTTCAGTATAGGAGAGGCATATTTTCTTAGATGTAAAAAGCTAAACAGGTTCATGTACACATTTAGAACTAAACAAAATTCAATTTTTTTTTCTTACAGAGGTAACTATAGATTCATATACACTTGTTAAGAAAGAATACAGGTAGATCTATTATATACTTAGTCCAGTTTCCCACAATGGTAGTATTTTACAAAGCTTTGGTGTAATAACCATCAGGATGCTGACATAAACACAATCTATCAATCTTATTTATAGGTCCCTAGTTTAACTTGTATTCATTTGTACGTATTAATTTTTATTTTCTTGGCAATGCTGGGGATTAAACTCAGGGTCTTATACTACATCCCCAGCTGTATGTGCATTAATTTTATCATCTATCTACATTGGTGGGTGTACCATCACTGTTGCTAAGAATTCTTCAAGTTGCACTTTATAATCACTCCTCCCCTCCCTCATCCCTAGCCCCCAAGAACTACTAATCTATCCTCCATTTTAAAATTATTATTATTTTAATAATGTTATATAAAAATAATCATTCTGTAGGTAACCTTTTGAGATTGGCTTTTTTTTAACTCAGAAGCAATGCCCTGGACAATCATCTTAATTGTAACAGAATCCTATACATTTTTTAGTGTATGTTTGTGATACATAATAATTATCTTCATTTGGGAAACACACCCATACACACACATAAATATATATACACCAAAAAAATACATCAAGAAAAGAAAAACTTGTATAAATATTTTAATACACTTAATTTAACACTTATTGAGATATCATGAGATTAATACATTAAGAAACCTTTGGCTTCTACAATTACAAGAGGTGCTGAAAGTGGTGGCCATTAGCTTCCAGACCTTTATTAGTACAGCAGACTGTGAATGTGTGTATACGAACATCATGGTCATTTTTATTCCCCTATTCCCTGCCTTCCCTTCTCCCTCCCTTCCCCATTTCCCTTTCCATCTCCACAAAGTCTATCTCCCTGATTCCTACCATCCCTCTTTTATTTTGCTCTTCACTGAGTGATACTCCATTCATAACACTCCTTTTAAAAAAAAACTCCTTTTTAAACTCCTTTTTAAAACAATGGAAAATGCATTTTGCCTGGGGAACCAATTATCAGGAGTTGCTATGTAGCAACAACACTTTTTCCTGTCCATTTTTTAATCAAATTTTCCATTATACTCCCTTAAACTATTACAACTTTCACACTCACCATTACAGAAAAGAAAAAGGTCCAAAGGAAAAAATAAATAATATGAAAATTGTACCCCTAAAGTAGAGTACTACAGTGGTTAAGCTTAATTGTGTCAACTTAACTGGCCTGGTAGCCACTGAGGAGACTAGGAAAGCACTCTTCTGGGAATGTCTACTTGGGTCACAGAGGCTTAATCTTGTGTACTGATCTGGTTCCTTGCTCCTTCTTCTCTGCTCTGTTGCCTTGATCTGCTTCCCCACCACCACAATCTAAGCATCTGTGCTCTATCATGCCCTTCTACCATGATGCTTCTACCTTGGAGCCAGCCCACTAGGGACAGAATCCCCTCAAAACATGAGCCAAGTTAAAACTCTCCTCCTTTAAGTTGTGGGTGCCAGGTACTAGAACTTAGTAACAAGAAAGCTGATTGATAGAGAAAATTGGTACCAGGAATGGAGAAAATGCTGTTACTACACTAGACTATGGCTCAGAAGTGTTTGAAACTGGTCTGCAGGGGAATTTTATAAAGGTTTAGAGACGCAGGCTACAGAAGGCCTAGAATATTGTAAGCAGAGATTGACAGACAAGTCTGGTCAGAGATCAGAAGACCAGAACAGTCATACGAATGCAGACAGTATAGGACAGGCTCATGAGCTTTCAGCTGGGAACAAGAATTCTTTGGGGTGTTAGACTAGAGGCCAGGTATGTTACATTCTGATAGAAATTAAATTGATTTAAATTTAAAAATTTTTTTTTCTATATTTTTCCCATGTCCTGAAACTGCAGGAGGTTACAGACTAATTAATTTGCAGCCCAATATTCAAACTGTGGCATAGATACTGCTGGCTGCTTTCAGTCAAATTTATAGTCATAATTAGAGGTAAAAAATCAGAGCACAGAACTTTAAAAACTTCAATTTTAGCTCAAAAGGAATCATATATAAAGTTAAGGCCAAAGTGGTGAGGCTGCTGAAGAGATTAGTGCCATTACAAAGAAACCAAGGCCCAGGGATTTAGCTCAGTGGTTCAGCAAGCGCAAGGGCCCAGTTTGATCCCCAGTACCAAAACAAAAACAAAAAACCCAAGTACCTTGTAGAGGATCAAAAAGAGAGATGCCCTGAGGGCACCTCAGAAACCCGCCCACTGCAGGCTCAAGGGTACAAAAGTATAAACTTTCTTTTAAGAAGAGAACCATTGGGACCCCTCTTTGAGAAGGACCTCTTAGGGAATTGGTTCCCTGAGGTTCATTTCACTGAGCTCTGCCATCCAGGCACTTAGGGGCTGCTGCTGCCATGGTGCAAGTGGGCCTGGCTAATGTCCATGGCGGTGACAGATCATGGCATCATCCAAGTGATACTCTACTGGTTTGACTAGCATGAAGAATGCAAGAGCTGTGGGCCAGGAATGCTTCTACCTAGATTTCAAAGGAAAGCTTAGGAGGCCAGGCAAGGAGCCCCTGAGAGGCCATTGTGTAGTTGTGAAAATGAAGCCAAAGGTGCAATGGAGAACTCAAGTCATAGATGTCAGATATGCAAAACATGTGTTGAGGAAAGCTGCAGGCTGTGAATAGAACCACCCCATGAGAGAAGTTACACGTGCTACAACCAGCAAGCTCATTGGGATGTGGTCACCCAAGCCCTCTGGAACTCACACCTCATCAACGTGTGCCCCAGATGCCAGACATGAAGATACAGGACATAATGTTTGCCTTGCTGGGTTTTGATTCTTTTCCATTCTCCTATTCCTCTCTTTTAGAATAGGATTTTTACTTTCTGCCATTGTACCTTAGAATTATGTATCTAGGTTTGTTTGTTTGTTCAAAAGGTTCAAAGATAAAGAGTTTGCCTTGAGTCTTAGAAGAGCCTTTGACTTGGACTTTTGAAAAATGTTGAAACTGTTGAGACTTTGGGGCAGAGATTATTGCATTCTCTGTTGTACACAGGATAGCTGTAATATATTAGAATTATTAGCTTGTTATTGTGTTTATCTGGAGCTTAAATGTGGTTTAAGATGATGTTTGGCTGTCAAGCTGACAAGGGTTAAAATGTAAGCGGTTAAGCTCAGTTCTATCAAATTGATTGGCTTGGGAGCCACCAAGGAGAATTATAAAGCACAATTCTGTATGTATCTGGGTGGGTCATAGAGACATGACCTTTGTTTCTCTATCTAGTTCCTCACCCCTTCCTTTCTGACATTGTTCCCTCTTCTGCTTCCCAGCCACCAAGCACAATGCATCTTTGCTCCGCCATGCCCTTCTGCCATGATGTTTCTGCCTTGGATCCAATCCATCATGTGCTGAAACCATAAGCCAAATTAAACCTCTCCCCTCCTGTAAGCTGTGGGTGTCAGGTATTAGTCAGTGACAGGAAAGTTGAATAATACATGAAATAAGCTAGTCCACACACACATTGTGTTTTACCTACTCATTTCATTTTATCTTATCAATAACTCCTTAAGGTATCAAATAGAGTTCCACTTTTCCATTAGAAAACTTAGCCTTAGTAAAGCTAAACAATTTGCCCAAGATCATTCACTATGTAGGTAACAGGGCCAGTATTAGAATCCAAAGTTGTTTGATTTTTATTTATTTGGCAGTAGTGAAGATTGAATCCAGAGTCTTTGTACTGAGCTATATCCTAGACCTCTCCCCCTTTTTTTGATAGAGTCTCACCAAGTGGCTAAATTGCCCAGGGTAGGCTTGAACTTGCAAGCCTCCTGCATCAGGCCCAAAGTTGTTTGACTTTAAAACTATGTTACTTTCCACAATATCAATAATGAAATTATTTCAATTAAGTTATTATACAAATCAAAGCTTTGGAATTCATTCATAAGTTGGACATGGCTGATGAAAATTAATGTTACTATAACAGATTAATTCATTTGTAGAAATGTCACACTAATGATTTTATAAATTTTTCTAATATTACATACAATGTAGCTAGAATATAGCACTTCCCTTTTCTTACTGCTACTATCCCTTATCCCCAAATTAAATTAATTTCTATGAAAAATGAACTTAAGACATTATCTATTTTAAATCAGGAAGTGAACCAGATCACTCTTACCTCCACGTTCCTCTTCTCTTTAAAACAGCTTTTGATTAAAGAGAGAAAAATTTAAGAAGAGAAAAAAGGAAGGGGAAAAATATACTGCCCTTTAAAGGGGACAACAGGTAGGGGAGAAAAGAGCATTTGTTAAACTTGTACTGAGCAATATATGGGCCCCCCTTAGTAATGATGATGCTAAAATGAATAATCAAGGTAGCTGGGCCTGTGGCACATATCTGTCCACCTTCCATAAAGAGCTCACAACTGTGAACTAAAAATCAACATTACAGAACAATTACAGAGGGCATAGTGGTACAGCTACTCAGGAGGCTGAGGCAGAAGGATAGGATCGAAAGTTCAAACCCAGCCTGGATAATTTAATGTGAGACAATATCTTTTTAAAAAAAAGCCAGGTGTGGTGTCGCTTGCCTGTAATCCCAGCATTCAGGACACTGAGGTAGGATTGTGCAAGTTCATGGCCATCCTGGGCCAGCCTAAACTACATAGCCCAGTGAGTTCAAGGCCAACATGAATTACACAGCAAGATCCTATCTCAAATTAATTTTTTTTAAAAAAAGAGAAAAAACAAGGCAAAGAAAGGGAAGGAGAAGAAGGAAGAGGAGAGGGAGGAAGGGGAGAGGGAGGAAGGAAGGGAAGGAGGACAATTACAAAGAATGTGACAAATACTAGTACAAGGGATATATGGGGTACATTTGCAGAATAAAAGAATAGAAATTATATGAAAGAAATGAACTGATAGCCTCTTGGCTCATCAAGAACCCTCAACAAACTGTGCTGCCACTCTCAGAAGTCTACCTGAAAATAATTTCAATATTTTAGATATTTCCTTAATGATAAAATAATCTACTAAATATATAGTTAAATACATAAGATTTAGAATTAATATTTAAGGTACTCAAAACCAATGTATGAGTATTTCTGTGATAAACTCTATATGTTTTGGCATTTTAGCTAATAATAATGTTTAAGGCAATCTGACATATTAACAGAGCCAGCCTTGATTCTGTTTTAACATGCCTGAGCAATTACAGTGTGACAGTAAGCCAAAGATCATTAAGTCAAAGATGTGAAAAGATGCCTTTTTTAATTCAAACATTTGTCAAATGACAGGAACTCAGTTAGTTACCAGGCCACTAGAATAAATACAGTTCCTAACTTACTCATATTTTTAAATTAGAGACAGATATTTCTATAAATAATTGTAATTTTTTATAACAAGTGCTGTAACAGTATAAGGCGTAGCCAACGCATGAAGAAAATAGTAACAAAATAAATTTTTTAAAAAAGGTAGTTTACTAAATCAACAGCAGGAAGTAGTTTTTAAAACAATTGACATCTAAAACCCAGATTCCTTTCTGTGACATTCTTACCTGGGCACTGCCACAGAATCCTCAGTTGTCATGAGTCCTAGTTGACCGTCACTCCCTGCACCCCAAGAAAACAGCTGGCCCTGGTCACTAAGAGCCAGACTGTGGGACTCGCCACATGCCACATGAATAATGTGCTGATCTGCCAAAGCTCCTATTTGTTCTGAAAGAGACAAACCAAATGAAGAAAATGTACAGCCTGGAAACAGATGTGTTGCCACCCTTACACAGAATTATCTTCCAAGGCAGTTTTGTTTTTTAAAGAGAACCACTTATTCTGCACATTTACTGATTATAAACTTGATATATATTTAAATGCTATCAATTTAGATTCTAGTTACACTAGGTAGCATACAGCATAAAAATAGTAGCACATATACCCCAGATATTCCCTGAAGTTATATAGCCATGTGCCAGAGCTTTTCTATCCAGTGGGAAGCCTGCAGATTTACTGTTTGGAGATGTTGAACCAGAGAGGTCCAAATGTGAGTAAGAATGTAGCATATTTCTACAACTAATGGAACTGACTGAAATTTAACCTGGAACAATTAGACTTATTCCTCCTGACCCCACAAATATCCAAAACTCCAACCATCCTTCCCTCCTCAGCTATAGAATGCATTTTCTTATGTTAGCCAACTACTAGAGCTGAACTATATCCCCTCCTCTACATATTCAGGAGATAATGAATTTTCTCTAAGAAAATTACCCCAATTCAGTGCTACTTTGCAACCAGACCCACAGCTAAAGTGCATCCTTGCTCCAGAAGCTAGTAGCCACAGCAAATCTCCATTCTTGAGGCTCCACCCTCATTCACACGTCACCATACTTACTGGGTAGCTATAGCACCAAGAACCTAGGTCAGGGATGGTGTACCTTTTGGAGACTGAGTGCTCAAACTGTAACTTAAAATCCACTTATTTATTGCAAAGTGCCAACAATGCAATTAAATCAAATACTGAGGTTGTAGTTTAGAAGAAACAACTCATACACTTGGCTCACGTTCCAATAGAGAAGGCTCTGTGTGCCCACTGTGGCATGGGTGCCATAGGTTCACCATCAGTGGCCTAGGCCATTAGTGTATCCATAGACATCACCGGCAAGGATAACACCAAAAAAACTGTACAAAAAACACTACTGTGTCTGCTCAAAATCAAAACTAACACACCTTACTCAACTAATATTCTAGCCCATCCATAGGAAAAAGTATCTGCCTACAAGGGAAAAAAAATACATAAATTTTTAAAAAGTGACTGTTCAATAACTGCACAGATATTCAAGTAGATGAACAAGAAACAACAAAATACCTAAAACAATTCAAAGTAATGATCTTAAGGAAGATCAGAGATACAAGAGAATACAGATAAACAATTAAATTCAGGGATTTAGCTCAGTGGTGCCACGCCTGCCTCTCAAACTCAAGGTTCTAAATTTGATCACCAGTATCAAAAAAAAAAAAAAATGAAATCCAGAAAACAATTTGGGACCTGAATGAGAAATTCAACAAGTAGACAGATACCACTTTTTAAAAATCATTGAATAATTCAATGAATGAAATAAAAAAGTAACTTATGAAAGTCATAAAACAGATTAGATCAAGAAGAAGAATTTCTTGAACTTGAAAATAAATGATTTAAGTTAACCTGGGAGGAAGGGGGTTAATTAATAAGAGAAAAGAAAGCCTATGGGACACCTTTAAGGAAATAGTATTTGCATTAAAGAAATTCAAGAGGCAAAAGCGACTGAGAAAGTACAGAATGCATATTTAATGAATGAATAGCTCAACACTTCCCTAGACTTGAGAGAGATATATCCAGAACTCCAATTAGGCTCAATACAAAAAGAGATCCTCTCCAAGACACATTACAATCATGCTGTCAAAAGTTAAAAGAAAAAAAAGAATTCTAAAAGTAATAAGAGAAAAACATTAACTCACATAAAATGGAATCCTGATTAGAGTAACAGTAGATTTCTCAGCTAAATTGCTTCTCAGCCTTTTGGCTAAGACCAAGTGTAGATTTCCCAGCTGAAACCTCTTGAGCCAGGAGAGCATAGAATGAAATATTCAGAATGATGAAAGAAGAAAAAAAAAAAAACTTGTCAGCCAAGAATACCATATACGGCAAAGATGCCTATAAAAAAAAAGATAAGCAAAAACTCAGAGAACTCATTACCACCAGACTGATATTACAAGAAACACATAAGGGAATGCTATATCTAGAATCAAACAAACTACTACCATCATGAAAACATATATAAGTACAAAATTCAGTCACAGAATAGATGAAAAAAAGAAAAAAGGCTATATAAAACAAGAAGACAAACAAAAGAAATAGGCTGTTACCCATGGATAACAACCTTGAATGTAAATATATTAATTCCCCAACTAAAAGATACAGACCAGGTGAATGGATAAAAAGTAATGCCCTACTATCAGCTGCCTACAAGAAACTCACTTCACCAATAATGACACACACATACTGAAAATGAAGAGATAGAACAAGATACTGTACACAAATGAGAACCAAAAACAGAGTCATTTCTTACTCATGTACGATAAAACAGTTCAAAACTGTAAAAAGAGACAGACATTACACATGACATAAAAGAATCAATTCAACAAAAGAACACATCAATTGTAACTATATATATGAACCAACATTAAGCCACTTAAGTATAATAAACCCAATATATCTAGAAGGAGAGATATACAAGACACACTGATATCTAGAAATTTTAACACCCATTTTCATAAATGTCTAAATCATTAAGACAGAAAATCATCAAGGAAACAGTTAACCTATACCACAGATCAAATAGACACACATTTCATTCAGCAAGTGCAGAACATATATTCTCATCAGCACATGGAACATTCTCCAGGATAGGTTTGGTCACAAAATAAGGATCAACAAATTTTTAAAAATCTAAATTATATATGTATCTTCTCTGACTACAAAAGAATAAAATTAGAAATCAACAATAAGAGGAATTGTGAAAATTCTACAAATATACAGAAATTCAATACATAACATGCTTCTAAACAATGGATCAATGAAGAAATAAAAAAGGATGTCAATAAATTTCTTTAAATGAAAGAAAATGGAAACAATATATGAAAATGTATGGGACATAGCAAAAGTGGTACTAAGTGGGAAGTTTATACCAATAAGTGCATCCATCAAAAAAAAGGGAAGCTTGTGACTAAACAATCTAACAATGCAACTCAAGGAACTTAAAAAGCAACAATAATAAATCTACTGTGTTAAAATCAGCATGGTACTGGCAAAGGAACAGACCTGAGGATCAGTGGAATAGATTAGAAGATGCAGAAACAACTCCAGACATGCTCAGTCACCTCATCTTTGACAAAGGAGCCAACCCCCATCATTGGAGGAAAGACAGCCTATTTAATAAATGGTGTTGGAAAAACTGGATTTCAACGTGCCAAAGATGGAAACTAGACCCATACCTATCACCATGCACTAAACTAAGATCGAAGTGGATTAAAGACATAAATATTAAGACAGAAACACTAAACTTGCTGGAAGATAAGTTAGGTAGAACTCTTGAAGACATTGGCATAGGAAAAGACTTCATGAACAAAACTTCAGCAGCATGGGAACTACCAGAAAGAATCAACAACTGGGATCTCATCTTATTAAAAAGCTTCTGCACTGCAAAAGAAACCACCAACAGAGCTAACAGACAATCTACAATGTGGGAAAAAATTTTAGCAGCTGTACCTCAGACAAAGGACTACTATCTAGAATATATAAAGAATTGAAAAAAATCAGACCCCCAAATTCAAAGACCCAATTCAAAAATGGGCATCCAAAATGAACAGACATTTCTCAAAGAAGTAAAAGCAGCAAACAAATATATGAAAAAATGTTCAACATCACTCGTCATTTGAGAGATGCAGATGAAAAAAACACTGAGATTCCACCTCACCCCAGAAAGAATGCCTGCTATCAAGAAATCAACCAATAACAAATGCTGGCAGGGGTGTAGGGAGAAAGGAACCCTTCTCCATTGTTGGTGGGAGTGCAGACTGGTGCAACCACTGTGGAAGTTAGTGTGGAGATACCTCAAAGAACTAGGACTAGAGGTCCCATTTGACCCAGCTATTCCCCTGCTGGGGATCTTCCCAAAAGAATTAAAAGAATCATACCACGGGGATATATGTGCACCCATGTTCATAGCGGCACAGTTTGTAATAGCTAAAGCTTGGAAGCAGCCCAAGTGCCCATCAACTGGAAACTGGAAACTGGATAAAGAAAATGTGTTTTTTTTATAAAATGGAGTACTACTCAGCCATAAAGAACGAAAAACTAGAGTCATTTATAGCTAAATGGATGCATATCAAGGCCATACGTTTAAGTGAAATAAATAGGACACACGTGTAAATACCCAATAGTTTCTCTAGTGTGAGAAACTGATAGTGTAAACAAGGGTTAAAATGATTAAAATGAATAATTGATAATTTGAAATAGGAAAAAAGGTCCAAAGATGAAGGAGTGAAGGGAGGAGAAGGGAAAAGGAAAAAAGGGAAAGGAAAAAAGGGAAAGGAAAAACTATGAGAAAAGAAAAAAAAATGGAAATGAAATCTGTGTAAATAGGGAAGGGTGGAGGGGGTGAAGGGCGCACAGGTAATGGGGAAAAAATAAACCAAGATATATCATGTACAGGTACAAACACCCAATGATAAATGTAAACAAACTGTATACCTAAAATGTACCAATAAAAGAAAAACAACAACAAAAAAAACCCATCCCCAAATTAGTAGAAATAAAATATCAAAGCAGAAATCAAGAAGATTGAGATTAAAAGCAATACAAAAGATCAACAAACCAAAAAAGTTCCTTTGTAAAGACAAACAAAATTGGAACTTATATAGGGGATCTATATAAGTAAAATCAGAGACAAAAAAGGAAATATTACAGCTGATATCACAAAAATATAAAGGACAACTAGGAATGATTACGAACAGTACATAGTCAAATTAGAAAACCCAGAAGAAAAGGGTAAATTCCTAGACAGACATAACCCACTAAGATAGACTCTTGACAGAACAGAAAATCTCCTGAGTGGTAGCACACACCTATAATCTCAGCTACTCAGGACTGAGACAGGAGGATTACCTAAGGCCAGCCTGGACAA